AGACCCCCCCCCCCCCCCCCCCCCCCCCCCCCCCCCCCCCCCCCCCACCCCCCCCCCCGCCGCCCCCCCCCCCCCCCCCCCCCCCCCCCCCCCCCCCCGCCCCCCCCCCCCTTTGAACAAGCCGGTTTTGGTTGCATTTGTTTTTAGAGTTTTTATGCCGTTGGCACTCGCCCTGCTTCGCTGATAACGGGAAGAGGGGAATAGAGGCAAATGGCGGTTTAGGGTTGGAAGGGGGAAAAAAAAAACCTACCCTTACGGAGCTTTCTTTGCACCATACAAGCTAAAGTGCTATTAACGGTCCAAGGTTTTTTTATCTTTACTTTTTTTTTTAAAAAAAAGAAAGAGAATCGAAAACTTGGACGGTTGGATTTTACTATTCTTTTTCGACTTCTCTTCTGCGTTGTCGGATTACTGCACGGCATTTCGTGGCAAAGTCGAGGTAGAGAGACGCCTGTACTCGCTCACCTTAGTTTTCCCCCTTTTTGATCTTCCCATCAACATCACATCACAATCCTGGCGGCACGTGGTATATATAGCACGCTGCAGATCTATGTGGGTAGGGGGGAAGTAAGGGGTTTGGGTTATATGGGTGGTCAGATCAACAGTCATTCATTACTCAGGCTACGTATTTGTCCGTAGTAGGTATTCCGGCGACTTTTGAGGAAAGGGATGGATAACATACATACATACATATATTGCCGATGGATTACCTATTGTTATCTCGGTAGTAGATAGTAGGTGGTAGAAATAGATATGGTAGCATCTACGGATGGAACGAATAGCGTTCCTCCGAAAATATGAGTAGCAGCAGCAGCAATTGAATGAGTTGCAAAGATCAAGATCAAGATCACCGCGCGAGTGGTTTTTAAATGGTTGGAATGTTTTTAAGTGCTGGATTTTTAAATGTTACCTACCTCGTAGTGAACGAAGCGTTAACCACCTAGTAGGTAAATATTCAGAGAGGCATGATTGACTTCCCGGCGTGTGGTTTAAATCTTGCATTTCTGGACGTATTAATTGTAGTGAAAAGGCAATATGCAGTGAATCCCGATGTTGTGCATGGTCCAGCAATACTGACAGTTGTTAGTTCATTTGAATCCAGTTAAATACCTAATCTATCTACCTGTCGTCGCGAATGTCTTATCTCATGAGGCATTAAACTAAGCCGCAGTCATTTGGACTTATTGATGAGCAAATTACCTACCTACCTATCCGTAGTTAAGGTAAGTATTAGGTGGTTAGGTAGTCGTATCAACAAATGAGATGCACATGTTAATTATTCAAACACTGGTAAATAAGATAAACAGACGAACAGATAAACAGGTAAAACAAGCGGACACAGGAAGAGCCGGCAAATCTTCTTATAAAGTACGTCACGACACCATTCCACAGCTTACTACATAGTACATTTGGTAATAAGCGTCTCGGCGTCTTGGTCAAGAGGGGACGACTTTATCTTTACATGTATTATTTCGTGAGATGGTTACCTGTCACTCGAGTCATCTCTTATTTATTGGCTTTTATGTCCTGTATTTAGGTGTTCTTTTTTTTTTTTTTTTTTTTTACTGGCGCGCGCCTAGAATTCTCTAGTCTCATATCGGGATTAGCGGCTCTTGGCGGCTCGGGCGCCAAGATCTTCAGGGGTGCGTCTCAGCTGAGATGATACGTTAGGTACTATGTACATTTATACATTCGTACATTCGTATATTCGTACCTTATTTAGCTAACCTATAACAGGTGGGCTATGCAATTAATCAGGGTCCGGTATTTGAAGGCTTCCATCCATTCATTTCAATTCATTCACCTAAATGATTTGATTTCCACCTGCAGTTGGCAGGTCATCTGCCATCGGTTAAGTGCATGCATGCATGCATGTGATTAATCTGAGGATTTTTAAATCTTCAACCAACTAAGCGACGTCAAAGTTTCAGGTGTGAGATATTCCTATCTTAACTGATTTTTTTTATTTTTATCTTTTCCGCTGATCAAAAAAATTACCCACTAACCAACAACCTAACTAAACCATTAGACAGGATTCGCTCGGTTACTTCGCGCGTGCCCCTTCAGATACGAAAAATGGAAGGCCAATACGTACGCTGTAACTAACAGAACTGGGTCGTTTCTGGGCAATGCGGCTATGCTCAGGTTAAACTTGTTAGATTCAGGTAGAGTATTATTCTTATTAGGTCTCCTCTAGATCCAGTTTGATCTAGATTATTTGGTTTGGATGGTCAACGATAAACTGTTGTTTGGTTTACCTATTCGAACTCGTTCCTTTCTCTCTACTCTTATTCACACAATTCCATAATGTCCCATAAAAAAGAAAAGAAAGAAGAGAAAGGAGAAAAAAAAACCCCCAGACGGTCTGGGCTTGGAGGGTCTTGGCCAAGCCTCTTGTTGATTGGTTACTATGGTAATTAACTCTCGTCTCTTTCCTTTTCGTTACCTCCTGAATCCAATTCGAAATCTTGGCTTTTTCCCATTCTTTGCCTTTCTCTGCCAACTGCCAATGCAATCCCGTTGCTTAGTTGGTTGATTCGTCTTGTCCTTCTTTTATCATTTGGTGCCCTTTTCACGTCGTTGACGTCGAGTTCCCACTATCCTTCAAGTCCAAACCATCCCCGTCTCCGAAACAAGTCGTGACCAAGTCGTGATTTAACTATATCCTATCCTATCCTATCATATCGCATCGCATCGCATCGTATGATATTCATATTTCTACGGAATAGAATACTAGGTCATCCATTCGTTGTCTTGTTGTTTCTTCTTACTATTCTTTTTCATCTCCATTTAACTACTAGTAATCGGTATTGAAGTGTGCTCGCTTCTCCTCTACTCTCTTCCCGAGTAGGTACGTTTCGCAAATCATGGTGAGATTATCTGCGCCGGTGCTGGCGGCGCTAGGCCTGTTCGCCAACAAGGCGTTCGGTGCGCTGGAGGTAAACCTCGACGATCCAGGTACGTATTTATTAGCTACCTGCTCTCCCCGCGCACCCTTCGGCAACAGCGGGGAATTGACCCGTGTATAAGTATAAGTAATTAACAAGGGATCTTCTCTCTCTCTCCGTCTAGAATCCATCAAGAAGGCTGCCGCCCAGGTCGCCGAAGACCTTCTCACTTTCTATCATGGCGACGAGCCGGGTTGGGTTCCTGGTATCTTACCTGGACCTCCTCCCGACGGCGATTACTACTGGTGGCAAGGCGGTGCGATGTGGGGTACGCTGCTGGACTATCGACATAACACAGGCGACACGCAGTACGACGACATGATAACGACGGCTATGTTGCACCAGGCCGGCGACGACCGGGATTACTTGCCAAGTAATTGGTCGGCGTCCATGGGCAACGACGATCAAGCTTTCTGGGCCTTGTCGGCTATGCTGGCTACCGAGATAGGATACACAGATCCTCCGGAGGATCAGCCGCAGTGGGCAGCGCTGGCGCAGGCCGTGTTCCACGAGCAGACGAGCGAGGACCGGAGAGTTCCTAGCGGACGATGCAAATGGGGTCTCCGATGGCAGGTCTACTCGACCAACAACGGATACGACTACATCAACAGTACGCCGAATCCCAGTTTTGTTCCGTATCTTTTCAAACTATATATATATCAGATGCTAACGTGACGGTAGCTATCGCCAACGCTTGTTACTTCAACATCGGTTCCCGATTGGCGCGTTATTTCCACAACGAGACCTACGCCGAGCTCGCGACGAAGACCTGGGATCTGATAGATCGATTGGGCTACATCTCGGATAAGTGGGATGTTTACGACGGCGCCCATCTGCCCGATTGTACCGATCTTAACAAGGCCCAGTTCTCGTATAACGCTGCCATGTTGTTGCAGGGAGCCGCTTTCATGTATAACTACGTACGTTTCCTCTCGTCATTTCCTTTTATAAATTCTTTTCGAGTACTAACACGGCCATATAGACCGACGGCGCGCAAATCTGGAAGGACCGCGTTGATAATCTTGTAGACCGCATGATCGAGATTTTCTTCCCCGCCCCCGCCCGCATCGCGTTTGAGCCCTCCTGCGAATATCAACAGTGTAACAGCGATATGGAGTCTTTCAAGGGATTTACTCACCGATGGATGGGCACGACCATGCAGGTGGCACCTCACACTAAGGAGAAGATCCTGCCGGTTCTCAAGCAGTCTACGGCCGGTGCTGTGAAGCAGTGTACCGGTGGTAATAACGGTCGATTCTGCGGTTTCCACTGGACTTCCGGTGTTTGGGACGGCGACACCGGCGCCAGTCAACAGATGAACGTCTTGGGTGCCTTAGTCAGTCTTCTGGCCCCCGACGTCCCGGCGCCTCTCACCAAGGATAACGGTGGTACGTCTAAGGGTAACGTGAACGCGGGTTCTAACGAGGCAAAGTTGCCTACATTCGCACCCATCACCAGCGGCGACAAGGTGGGCGCAGGTATTGTCACGGCTCTCATCATCGCAGGCTCACTTTCGGCCTTCGCATGGATGAGCCTGGACTAAAAAAAGGAGAGGGGGATAATTTACAACCATAGACATACATACATTGGAAAGGGAAATCCAATAACGAGATTTTCTGGCGTCGGATCGTGTTGTTTTCTGCTTTTGCAACATCAGATATTGGTCTTTTTATTTTTGGCTTTTTGTTTAGGAAACGAATACCCGGGACCTCTTATCGAATCTGTACTTCCTGTCCTTGTACATAAAGCATCCCTTCCCCTCTTCGGTAACCTCTTTTCGCCCCCTTTTCTATCGCGGGTATTTAGTCTGCCATAGTTCATTTCTAGGCGTTTTGTCGGACTTTTGGCATGCGGGTTATTCAAACCGGCAAGGTACATAGTACTGTGTAAGTAGGGGAGGCCCGCAAGGAGAGTTGGAAAAGAGGCGAAGAATTGATCAGAAGAATTGGACCATATAGACTTAACCTAATTCGACGCATGGGTAAAATATATGACTGTTGCCTGTGCCTGTAGGGGTGGTATTGCTTGTCTCTTTTTCTTTTACGGTCAGTAGGCTTAGGCTGATAATTGTATAGAGCGTTCTGTTAAGGGTGATGATATAACCAGCCAGAACTTGTGTTCGTTACTTTCAATCAACTTGGCTTTTATATAGGTAAATCGGACAGTTGATCTCGAACGCATAAGATAGTACCTATGTCAATAAGGCTACTTACTGTCTTTATAGCTGCAGATTTCACTCTCGAAAGACGCTGGAAATCCTTGACTAGCTGAACCCACCATATATTTACTCGGCCATTCTTCTACTTAAAGATTCCACGTTTAGACCTGTCTCGTTTCTGAGGTCATACCAAAACGCGTTATTTAAGCTTCTTGGTGATGCGGTAAGTTTGAATCTTGTGGAAACCTGTATAGATTGACATCGTCCGTTATAAGCCTGCAGCCTTTCCCTCCCAAGCAGGCCAAGTTATGGAGTTTCATATTACAACCACGCGGTACGCAGATTGTTGAATACACGATTAAGTGGTGCGAGAGTAGAAAAAAAAAAGAAAAAAGGTGAGAAAACCGTGAAAACGCGTTGATGTGAGAAAGGATTTGGTAGGCACGGCTCATTTCAAGTACTTGGCGAATAGGTATACCCAGAAAAGCGAAAGAGTAAGGAGGTAAGCGTATAATTGTAGGGAATACCGTCTTATATTCGGCCTCGTGTTGTCTTTGTATGATACCTGTATGAGAAACACTCTTGGAAGCCTCCCGGGGCATTTAGAATAGACGTTAAAGACTTGACAAAAATTTGACCAGCGGCTTAATTAGTTACCTTGAGTTAGAAATAATGAATATGAAAGCCAAGGATGTGTTTGTAGTCTTATCTGTCTTATATTGCATTTGAAACTTTCGGCTATATCACACAAAACGTGCAGTACTGCCTCTCATTCTGCGTAATGTAGTATCCTGACTAGGATATCCCTTATACGAAAGAGTACCTTGGCATTTCTTTTGAATTGTCCTTGTTTCAGAGGGTTTTCGAGTATCGCGCTTGGGTTGACTCTGAGGTAGGTCTAGAGCATCGAGATTAAATCCCCAGGCGGGGGGTATTTGCGGTACTTAATCCTGATAACAGGGAGTTCAGATTATTGAAGCTTACCTTAGGTAACTATGACCGTTAAAAGAGGTACAATATTGTGTTTCGCCAACGTCGAATCTACGCCCCCAACCAGATCCGAGCCGATAGCTCCGCTGAGACAGCCAGGCAACGGAGATCCGAGATCTGACGACCTTAATCCTTAATTTGACCGCAGGTCTTTCTGGGTAAGCGTTTATGCTTATGGGCTTAGCTGTGATTCAACCAACTTGGAGATCGAGCAAGTCATAAACCGCTTGTATGATCGGGTTATGCCTTATTCGTACTCGACTCACAGAAAGGAGAAAGGAGAGAGATGAGAGGTGCCGAATAGCCGGTAAATGTAACTATGTACTTCAAAGTTCGTATATGCGATGTATTATTACATACTCACGATGAACAGGGAATAATGAATAGGTACCTAAAGGACATAACCCCTTATCATTTTCTTATGACCTCAATGTGAATGTAAATTGTGCATCAAGATAACTGACATTAGGTATCCGATCGATTAATTAATTACCTAGGTACTTCGTAAGCCCAAGTTTAGTGCATCAAATTCCCAAATTCCATCTGCACCTTTAAGAATCCAGGAAAGGAGGTACTTCCATGAAGGCGATCCACATGGTTACACCGACTTGGTGCAGCTATCCAAGAAACTACGTCATGTCCCACTATCAAGGTAGGTAGGTACTCCCTTGCACACCTGTATTTTAAGCATGATTGAGATTTGGGAAGCAGCAGAGCAGGTGCTCAAGACCTTAGGTAATAATGTAATAATCGACATATACTCGAAACAGTTCAACTTTTTATGTGTCGCCACCTGATTCCATCAACTTTCGATTTTGTCGATTACACCGATTATACTATGTAGGTACCTAGTGTATAATACCATGGTGCCTAATAACATCGTAACTGGGGAATGTTATGACTCCCTCAATTAGTTGAGAGTCTAGGCTGCTTCTTAGCTTCATATCATAATGCATGTTAACTATTTATATCTAGCCCTCATCTCTAGGTACTTTCATGCTTAAATATCCTCTTGTCTTACCTCGTACCTAACCTCACACAACATACAAATACTTACGGAAACAATAATAACAACAATAACAATCCGTTATTGGCAATCATATTTGTAAATATCTTCATTACCAACATCAAATACCCATAAATCATCATATATGAATCAACGCCGAATCCTTTTCGCAAACTTAGGTACCTAAACTATACCCACTGTGCCTTCACATAGGTACGCGTCCCTGAAGCTAGCCACAGCCCCCTTTTTTACATTTTACCAAGGCAACCGTCGGAGCTAGCTGATCAGCCCTACGCAAAGTCACACGCCTCCGTCGCACGCTCTTCGCTCGGGTCGCGCGAGGTACAGTGCGGATCGTAAGTCGCTTATACGTTGTGTCTTACGAAGTGAGGCGGCGGTATCATTCCGCCACGTCTAATCCCTGTTGAATTTATCTACAGTACCGATAAACAAACAGGAAAAAAAAGTCGGGAAGATAAAATTCTCCAAACCACTATCATTCGGGTAGATCGTGGTAAAAAAAAAAAAAAAAAAAAAAAAAAATCCACAGAAGAGGAGGAAGTCTTGTTACATAACGGGTCGACGAGAAGAAGAGAATCGTTACTTAACCTACGCCAAGGAAATACTTCTCAGTTGTATCGAGGAAGTCGGATACATACGTTATTAAGACGCCACCCGCCAAAGAGGGAGTACTCGTCTTATTTAGGTGGTAAACTCTCTCTTTAGGGTTGATCGCGGTAGACAGCATGCGTAAGTTTCTCCCGTTTCTTAACTTTAAATCTTGTCAAATCTTGTCATTTTAAGTGGTTATTGCTTCGTCGCTATCACTTTATTGTTTTATTTTTTATCTTATTTCTTCTCGTCGAACCCCCCCCTCCCCCTTTTTACCTCCCTTTTTGGGACACGTATGGCGTATTCAACTTCAAGCGAAGTCAAAATGGAAGCACGGCACTCGTTTAGGTACCTATCACACTACCGGTACATACCTAGGTACCCTTCTTGCATGCTGGATGCAGGTATCCTCATTCAACCCGACGCGACGCTACATTAATTCCGGCAAGCCTCCAAGTGGGATGGATTTTGATCTGCCGGCTTTGAACCTGTTGGTATCTGTTGGGTTATGGTGTCATAGAGGGGCGAGAGAGATCGGGATTTTATCCCTATACCTCGAAAGCTTATGTTAAGGGAAAGCTAGAAAAGAAAGAAAAGAGAAAACAAAATCTCGTTACTCAAGCTATCGACAAAAGCTATCGACAAACAAAGAAGTTGCGGAGAGACAAGATTTCTTTAGCAACGAAGCATCTAGGCATAAGGATCTATGTCGTATCTCCCGTGCCTAAAAAGCAAGGCGGAAACCCACACAGTTAAACCTACACGTTATCACCTACAGGGATCTAATGACCTGCTGCCAAGCCCTTCTATTGCTTCTACGAGTGATTGTTAGGTTAGGTACTTACTAGGTATTGTACTGTACTGTGTAGAACGACACCGCTGACTCTTGTATCTGCGGTGACTGGCCCGGCTAGCCTGGCTGGCTTGTCCGTACTGTCCAGACTGTCTGTCTGCTTTCTCTGCTTTAGGACTACCCCTGGCCCTGACCTGACAGCCCGAACAAGCCTTGGGCTTCCCAGATTACTCTCTTCCAATTAAAGCTCTCCCCACGCCACCATATACCTATCTTCCCCATTTTTTTCTACTTGCTTCTACGCCTATTTAGTCTAAGTCCTCTCTCGCCCTCGGATTACGTCCTAGACACGTTCCGTTCCCTCTCTTCCCCCGTTCTCTTTACAGAACAATTACGACCTTGGCGTCGAATCTGCCAAAGCCGCACACATCGATGAAGGAAAGTTCAACTGACCAGGCCTCTTATATAGATCGCATACGCTCTTGGGCACGAGGTCACGCGTATGGAGGCTCTACACGTCCCGCTGCGTCCAATTCCAACCCCATCCTTCCCGTGAATAATACACACTCGGACCAAAATCCCGAGAAGATCCGCCATGTTAGCGGCGCCGGTTCCGACCGCCACCAGGGCCTTCCTAACTGCTCCCCGAATACTCATGATGTCCCCAGCTCCGGATCGGATACCCAGCATGCCGATAGGTCGCCGGTGTCAGCATCTGAAGTGGAGGGGACGGGGCCTGTCGTAGACAAGGACGGCCCCAAAAAGAAACAGAACGTCTTCGTCGAAACCTATCACGAATTAAAGAAGGTGATCCTTCACAGCTGGATCAACCTATTCTTGGTCTTCGTCCCCGTCGGGATTGCCATCGCGAACATTCCGAACAAGAATTCCGGAGCTACTTTCGGAATCAACGCTGTCGCCATCATCCCGCTTGCGGGACTTCTTAGCCATGCTACCGAGTCCGTCGCCCGCAAGATGGGTGACACCGTCGGCGCCTTGCTGAACGTAACGTTTGGTAACGCCGTCGAACTTATCATCTTGTGAGTTTTGTCCTGTCCTGTCATTCGAAATGGCAATTTTAGCTAACAAATCAATAGCATGTAAGTGATTTTGCTCTTGACAATTCATTGTCGAGCGGTCTTGTGCCGACCGGTATATGGATATGTACATATGTACCACCTACATATGGATCTTTGCTAACCTCGTCATCTAATGTGTAGCATCGCTCTAGTCAAGGTAAATACGCGTATCTACGTCCCGCATTTCATTTGACTAATAAGGTACAGGGAGAAATTCGCATCGTCCAGGCCTCGTTGCTTGGATCTATTCTTGCGAACTTGCTATTGATTCTGGGCATGGCCTTCTTCCTCGGCGGTCTCCGCTTTCGTGAACAGGTTCGTTCGGTACTAGTGTTTTGGCTATTTTGCATCGGCTAACATCTTGCAGATTTACAACAGTACGGTGACTCAGATGAGCGCCTGTTTGCTGAGTTTGAGCGTGATAAGTCTCATGTTGCCGGTTAGTTTATTCGTATCGAGTCTCGACAACGCATTGCTAACTAGTCTTACTAGACCGCATTCCATGCTTCTTTCCGAGACAAGGAAGAGGCTGATAAAGAATCTCTCAAGATCAGCCATGGTGTTAGCGTGGTATGTATCTACTCCGAATTAACCCCCCCCTAATCCAAATAAAGCGCAAGCAGTCATGCTAACATCGTCTCCAGATCCTCCTTTTGGTATACGTTGTGTATCTTTTGTTCCAGCTGAAGTCGCACGCGTATATGTACGAATCGACTCCTCAGCACATCATCGATGAGGAAGCAACACCTGGTCCGGCTGCCGCATGGCTCGAGTCTTCTGATTCTGATTCGAGCTCGTCATCGGATTCGGACTCTGACCGCTCCAGCCACTCGAGAGAAACCATGTCGAAACGTGTCCGACGAGCTATCCATAGGCGTCGCCGTAGAAAGTCAAGTACCGCATCGGTAGACACCGAAGAGGAAGTTCGAACTCGCACCTCGTCTCTCGGAACCAATAGTGCTAGTCCCACTCACGAGGGAGGTTCGAAGTCGGGAGATTCTCTCCAGGGTCCCCTCGCTTTTCCTCGAATAAACTCTACCGGTACCGAGGAGGCTATCGAAGAGGAAGAGGAAGAACACACGTCTCGCCGTAAGCATAAGCGTTCTAAACGCAAGCACCGCAAGCGTACAAGGAAGGCCTCGACCGGTGTCGAAGAAGCTACTCCTCAAAACATTGCTAGCGTAGGACCGGATGCGGCACAAGAGCTCGTCGCGAACGGCGGAGAACCCCGTCGTGTCGATTTTGCGGAGGCAACTGTCAACGTCGAAGGTCCACTCGAGGGTACTCCTGGATCCAGACGTCCTTTCAATAACCTGCGCACCCTGTCACTCCGACCTGTGGCTAAGAGCCTGGCACCCCCAGTTTTCACTTCGGATGTTGGAGCTATGCCGATTACGTCGGTCGGACCCGTTCCGCGGGTAAGATACGGCATTCGCAGGACCAACTCGCTTCCCGAAAGACTTAACCAATATCAGTACCGACCACCCGGAGCCATGATGCCTTCTCAGATCCCTGTTTCTATCCTAACTGGTAGCGCCGGCGAAGCAGGCGAGATGCACGGAGATGACCTTTCTCGTGGCGCAGCTATCATTATGTTGTTGCTCTCGACAGCGCTTGTTGCCGTGTGCGCCGAATTCATGGTGGACGCCATCGACGATGTGGTGGCGAACAGCGCTCTCAAGGAAACCTTCATCGGTCTGATCATCCTCCCTATCGTCGGTAACGCAGCGGAACACGTGACGGCCGTTACGGTAGCAATGAAGAACAAGATGGATCTGGCCATTGGTGTAGCTATCGGCTCCTCGATTCAGATTTCCTTGTTCCTGACGCCTCTCGTGGTTATTATCGGTTGGATCATCGACCAGCCCATGACGCTTTACTTCACCTTATTCGAGACGGTTTGTCTGTTTGTATCGGCCTTCATTATCAACTTTTTGATCCTTGACGGCCGAAGTAACTACCTCGAGGGTGCTCTGCTCTGCGCTACGTACGTAATCATTGCGGTCGTAGCGTTCTTTTATCCCGAGGGCGACGCTGCCGGTGCTCTAGGTTCCTAAGGGAAACATTTACAAGACCCCCACACACAGCGGAGGAGAGTATTTGAAACCTCTTATTTGACAATACGCAATACGACGCAATGTTCAACTGAAGCATATGAGGATATGAATTTTTAGTTGATTACTTTGATATTAAACTTGCCCGAGGCGGTTTCACGATACTGATTTAATGAATATGGCACTACACGATTGAGAGGGAGTTGCCTGGGATGGGAGACGAAACGATATTACTTTTCTACTTTTAAGGGATGCTATCTACTTTTCGGAGTTTTGATCCCCCTTTTTTTGCGATTTGATTATAAACAACAAGTTGCTTTGATTTTTGAGAGATATTAATTTTTTTCTATTATTTCATTTCGGGACAAAGCTGAGCCAGCCAACTTGGCCGCTCTGATGAAAGATAGCGACGACGTTGTGAAACAAACACGTAGATAGCTTGAGTTACCTAGAGGTAGTTTAGCGACGCAGACTTGTAGACTCGTGGTTGTACAGGCTGCTTAGCGGATGAATTGGACATACTCTCATTTTGCAGATGACTGAAGTTTTTATTATAAGTGACTAAGCCGTAAAGCAAAGCAATAAAGCTGATTTGAACGTTCATGTTGGCAACTTAACACAGCCACAACTGTTCTAGACGGATGGGGCTATGCTGAACCTTAGTAACAGGTAGGTAATGTTCGCTTCGTACCTAACCTAACATATGTACCTTGGTACCTTGCGTATTCCATATTCCCCATCATGTCACAGCCATAATAACTTTAAGTGTAGATGACGTATGGATTTTTAGGAAAGTGTTGGAGGTTACATTGTCCATAACACCTTAGAGGCTTAGCTTAACCTAATGACTTTTCTCTACCTTTGTATCACTGATTCAAATAATAATATTGAAACGGTTGGATGCCAAGCAATTAAGCCATCTTGTATTTGGAAAAAGATATAAAGGTACCAGGTAAGTAGGTACGGATTCCTCTCAGGTATTTGAATTCATTCTTCTCCAATCATTTACATCTACATCTACAACCACCACATTAATTATAACGTCTTCCCAGTTTTTTACACCTTCTATTTTTTCCATCACTCCCTCTCCGGATAAGAATAAAATAATACAACAACGCTGCCCCTTTCCCTTTCTTCTTCCAAAATCCCCCAAAATGTGTTTCGGAAGCAGCAAAGATACATCGAACAACGACTCAGCGCCTAAACCAGCCGCGGTCCCTCCTCAACGATTATCATCGTCTTCCTTACCACAATCAGCCAGCGCCGCCAAAGCCAGCATTAGCAACAGCAACGGCAACGGCAATATGCGGCAGGACAACTACGCGCCACCTCCCGGACCCCCGCCGTCTCACGGCCAGTACTACACTCCCCCGCCCGGTCCACCTCCGTCCCATCATCATCAACAAGACTACGCGCCTCCCCCCGGCCCACCACCTCCTCCTTCTTCTTTTTCTTCGGATACCAAGAACAACCCGTTCTATAACTCCGGCCCCGGTTCCGATTATGCCCCTCCACCCGGCCCCCCACCCTCTCACAACTACCACCACCAGCAACAACAATCCTCCTCCTCCTCCTCGTCGCAAAACCAACAACAAAAGCAACACGACTGGCAATCCGCCGTCCCCGACACCTCCCTCCTCCCCCCTCCCCCCAACTTCTTCAGCGGCTTCGACCGCTCCCCCGCCAACAACGCCACCGAGGAGCAGTGCGACGCCGGCGAGGCCTGGTGCGCCCAGTACCCGCTGTACCCGCCCATGCCGCTGAACCCGCCCGCCGAAGCCGCCTCCCGAACCGGCAACATCGCCGTCTTCGCCCCTCCATCATTCCTCTCCTCTTCTTCCAACGGCAACGGTGGGTCCCTATCCCAACTCCGCCCCGGCCTCTGGTCCGTCTCGTCCCCCCGCCGCCGCGCCCCCGACGCCTGTCTCGCGACGTATCCGCCTTTATACCACGCGGCGGCGCACAGCCCGCTCGTGACCGGAACGAAAAGAAAGACGGTGTACTACGAGGTCCGCGTGCTCGAGCGCGGCAGCCGCAAGGACGAGGTCTCGCTCGCGCTGGGCTACGTGGCGCCGCCGTACCCGGGGTTCCGGCTGCCGGGGTGGCACCGGGGCAGCGTGGGGGTGCACGGGGACGACGGGCACCGGTACGTGAACGACCGGTGGGGCGGGAAGGCGTTCGCGGCGCCGTTCCGGCGGGGGGAGACGATTGGGTTGGGGATGGAGTTTTCGCTGGGGCCGCGGAGAGACAACAACGACCACCACCACCACAACAACAATAACAACGACAACAACGGCATGCAGGCGCAAGTGCGAGTAGAGGTGTTCCTGACGCGGGACGGCGCGGAGGCGGGCCGCTGGGACTTGCACGAGGAGACGGACCGGGAGCAGGACCTGCCGGTGACGGGGCTCGAGGGGTACCACGACTTGTGCGCGGCCGTGGGGGTGTTCGACCAGGTCGCTTGCGAGATTGTGTTTGCGCCGGAGCTGTGGAAGTGGAAGGGATACCGGGGATAGAGAGAGACAGAGAGTTAAAGAAAGGGGAAAGAAGCGTGTCGTGTCGTGTCGTGTATTTTACCTGTTATTACCTACCTAGCTCTTTTGATTTTTTAAAAATAAGACCGGGTACGAAGTAGGTTAGGTAGGAGATAGTCTTCGATGCTGGCCTCGGAGATGGAAGTTGACTGCATTAATTAAGCCGGACCCTTGGCAGAAAGCAAGCCTTTTTACGCAATGGTGATATTATCTCATACTAGGTAGAGGTTTGGCCTGAATCGGTTTCTTAATAAAGTCATACTTTGGCTTGTCTTGGTTTTATCTTCTCTGGTAATATCCAATTACGTTACGTGACCCCATATATATAAGGTATATAAGGTACCTGGTATATATATTTCATTCAAAGGGTACAAAGTTCAAATCGGGACTACGAATCATAAGGCACGACGGCGATAATGTTATCACTTGGTGCAGTTTACGAGCAATAGAAAACAAGTAGACGTGAGACTAGGTACCTCTTATGATTGGCTGTTTGTACCAAATCGAGCAACTATGAGTCGTCATTTTCTTCCTATCCGGAAAGAAAAGGTAGTAACTAAAGGAGATCTAGTAGGATTCCCTCCGCCCAAAGAATCAAGATTGACAACATATCTCCAAAGACATCTTCGTCTACTTCATCGTCGGCCTTTCAGATTCGCCTAATAGCTACTTCTAACCAATCGGCGTTTTATTCACAATCTGCCCATACTTCGCGGCGCAGCTTGAACCCCACCGTCACCAAGTCAGTCGGAAATCGTTTGAGCACCCTCGAAAGCGTCGTTCGGGTCGAGAGTGGTCCATCCCCTGACGGAACCGGCTTCTATGCAGATCATCTTCTTGTAGCCGTCTTTGGGTTCGAAGTCGCCCATACCTTCTGCCTTTTGCTGCCAAGGATTCCAGACTACCACGTCCTTAAGGTTGTCCCGTACGATGCTGTAAACCGCTTCGCCGTCCTCTGAGACTACTACCGGGTGCGAGGGGCCTTTAGCCGGCGTGTACACCCTATCCGTCTCGCCTGTGATGGTTATGGCGCCCGACTGTGTTTTGGTACTAGCCGCATCCAACTTGTCGATGTATTCTGAGTCTTCGAGACCTGTCACTTGGATCTTGGAGATGTCCTGTTTGTCGCGGGAAATAGAATTAGTATATTTTGCATACTTTGCATACTTTGCGCCTTTTAACTATACGGAATATTACTTACGTCGATTCGCAGATACGTGTGCAATAGGACCTGGAACTCGAAGGGCTGTTCGCCGTCGTTGGTAATGACGATGCTCGTGTTCAGGTTTTCCGGGGTCAATGTGACGCTATAGATGATGGAGAAGGTGTAGGGCCATAGGCTCTTAGTCTCCTCGTCGAGACTTGCGGACGAGAGACCGAAGTCAAGCTTGACGGAGGTGTCGGACGGGCCCGTGGATTCGGAGCTGGACTTGCCCAAGAACTCCCATCGCGAGTTGCGCGCAAAACCGTGCTGAGGGAGTTTCGAGGTTGCGGGGTGATCAGGAGCTGTGCCGAAAACCTGGAAGGCGGGTGTTACGTGTTAGCCCAGCTTTCCTTTTTTTTCTTTTATTTTCTTTTTTCATTTTATTTATTTATTGTTTATGGGAGAGATGATATGTGGTAAAGGATGTAACAGTTTAATAACTTACGGGGAAGACGAGAGGAATTCCACCTCGTACGGCCTTGGATCCGTCGAGCTTGGCGGCGTCGGACAACCAAAGTCTCTCTATTCCGAATCGGTTCTTCCAGCTGATAACGGTGGCGCCGTGTAGAAGAACTTCGATGCTCTCTCCCGTGGGTAGAGAAGCCGTGACTCGCGAATTGTCGTGGGTGAAGTTAACTTGGGGTTGAGGTGGTAGACCGGGAGTTGTGGCTAGCGCCAAAGGCTTCTTTGGTCGGTCAACCATGATTGCTAAGTGGGTTGTCTTATTAGTTCTTCTGTTTAGCTTTTAGTAGCGTTGAGTTTAGGCGAACTTGAGTTGATAAGACGGTAAAGACACGGCAAAAACGAGAGGAAAGAAAGAAGTAAGGAAGGAAATAGAATGGTACCTAGTTGTAGACAAAAGGGTTGGATTCTGCTGGGCTATGGGCTATGGGATGCTAGGATGCTGGGATGTTTGTATGATGATGTTGTATAGCGGGGTTATAATAGAAGAGGTAAGGGTAGGTTCCTAGGTAATAGAATAGGTAATATATGATGTGCATACCTACCTACCTATATATACTTACCTTAGGTACCCAACCTAGTATGTGAATATGCCTGCCTCTGCCTTACCTTAGGTAGGTACCTTTTTATCTTTTACGTATTCCTTCAAATATTACCTAGGTAGCAAACAACGTTGATTTAAAAGGAGAATAAGCTTTTCTTTTCTTTTTTTAAAATAAATAAATAAATAATGATAATAATCAAAGAGAAGATGATGATGGATGGGGTTCTGGGACAAAAAGGTAAAAAGGGAAGACGAAAACTTGGGTGGAGACTTGGACCGAAATCTAGAAGGTTTGGAGAGGGTACATAGTAGCATTGTTGCTGTTACACATATTGCAGCTTCAACTGAGACGACCCTTCCGAAAGATTGGGCAATTCCGCAATGGTACATTAGGTACATGCCGCATTTGTGGTCATTTGTGGTCGCACCACATAACCTGAAACCACCAACCTTCCTGCCTACAGCCAACTTAGACCTATAACAGCCGAGCAGCTATCCGGAAATGTCCCTCTACACCCTCCCATTTTAACCGCAAGAGCTGCAGGCTTCGGCACTAACTCCATAAAAATCCCAATCGCTCTTCTGGTATTTAGGTACTATTGCAACTTATACTATGGTAGTAATAATACTTTGCTTATGAATCCAAGGTAACGCATACTATGTAACTTTTACAACACATGCACAACAGATGGAAGCGGATCAACTGCCAAAATGCATTAGGCACCTAACTTATAAATATTCCATTCGTATAGATTACCTAAGGTATCATAGCTTTCATCTGCCTCCTAAACGCCTTATCAATGCCCATTTTCATAACTCTACAGCGTGGTAGTACCCTTAAAATATGTTTATCGTCATCCGCCATTAACCTTTACACATATCTTCCCCTTAATAAAAGAAAAAGAACAAAAAAACCTAGCGTCGGCTCCGACTTTCCGCCAGGTATAATTCTTTTTTGATGTCGAAGAATATATCCTCAATCCTGTTCACCTCGTCTCGGGTCAGCGTCGCTGTGCGGAGACCCTCGAGGCCACCATTCAGAGCATCTATAATCCTTTCTGCTGCTGATTTTTTAACAACGGCTTCTTCGACAAGACGAGGCTGCTCTATCTCAACCTCAGCCTCGACGGTCTTCTCCAACATTGTCTCCTCCGCTTGATCCACCATCTTACTATCTTCATCTACAGGGGGAATACCATCCTCTGGTAATTTGGTAGGAATAGGTTCCACTTCTGACTGTTGAGATGCTTCTGTAATTATCTGCAAAGTAACCGCTTCCGTATCAGACTCGCGCTCGACAAGACTATCATCGAAACCCACAGGCGATGAGCTCTGCTGACCACGGTCCGCGACTGCATTTTCTTGTTTCGCTAAATCGTGTGGGGAGTCAAAAGGGATAGTGTCCAACTCCATCGAAGCATCAATTTCGGTATTCATTTCCGTGTTAATTTCGGTTGTAGCCTCTTCAGTCGTAACCTCTTCGGCATGCTGGGAAACCTGGCTATCAGGCACCGATTCGACATCAGCATCCTTATGATGACGTCGTTTCTTTTGACTGTTGCCATGTTCTTGGTTCTTGTCCGCATATCGCTTCCTCTTCTTTTTCGACTTCTTACTTGGTGAATGAGAGCTTTCTGCCTCCGCCGAGGACGAAGGAATAATAGGCGGCGACGGCAGGCTGTTCTCATCTTTCTTGGATTTTGATTTGCCGCGTGATTTCTTCGATCCTGTGCTTACCGCGATACTCTCCGAAGGCTGAGCCCCTATAACTTGGGCCTTTTCTGGTGACTCTGAACCGTACTTGGGTGCTGGCTCGCATTTCCTAGAATCTAGTTCGATAACTAGACGTGCCAGGCTCCGTTCTTCGTCGTCGCTGAGCTCGAAAGAGCGGTCCTTAGACTGGGAAGACAGAGGCTCTTGCGCGGCCTGTACATCCTTTGCTGCGTTACTGCGGAGGGCTCGTGGCGATCCAGGTGCCGGGTTGGTGGGGGCATCCATGAAGAGCTCGGGGTCGGTCCGAGGTGAGGACTCCAGAACTTTGCCCGAACGCGTTCTCCGTGGAGTAGTTGGCCTTTTAGGGGTATTAACCTTACTAGACTTCTTATTCTCCACGTTTGTAGACGAAGGATCTGGCTGTGTTGTTGCATCTTCATCTTCGTTCTCCTGATGCACGGCCACTGATGCTTCTTCACCGTTTCCTACATCTTCTCGATCCGAATGGTTTTCGTCTGCGGGAACCGTTTGTTGCTTCCTAGCAGGAGACCCCGAGACTGGAGATGACAGGATAGGGAATTCTTGAAGCATGCTGCTGCTTCTAGTCCGTGGCTTCATCTCTGCGAGCAAGTTCCGACGTGGCTCAGGCGGCGATGAAGGAACGTCATCCGTCATCTCTTGATCAAAGTCAATCATGGGGGCTTGGCCGCGCCTAGGCGTCGGTGTGGATGTCATATAATCCTCAATACCTTGTTTGCGTTGCGGTGTTGCATCTCGCGCTTGTTCGGGATATTTTGCTGGGTTCGAGGTCTGGTTGTCTGTGCTAGCTCGAATATGCGAAAATATGGCGGCATTTTCTCGCTGTCTTTCCCGGACTTCTTTCTGACGATCTGTCAAGTACTGAGATTCCATTGCGTTATGGCTGGGGGAGGATGATTCGATAGGCGCAAATTGAATTTGAGAATCGTCGTGTCGCAGTTTGGGAGTCGCGTTACGCCTAGCTGACCTTGGTCGAGGTAAACTGGGGGTGGTAACGAGCCCCTTTTTAGAAGGCAACGAAAGCTGGACGGATCCGGGCGTTGCGGACTGCCTAGCAGATCGCCGTTGCGCTCGAGGCGTTTCGTGGCGACTCTGTTCGTCGAGAGATACATTCGTAACCTGTGTGTTATCCTGCGATTCTACGAATGATGGCTGCTGTCCACTAGACTCGTAGCTGGAGAGGTCTACGCCGGGGAGCACTATATCAACATAAGAATGAGCAGAAATGAGCACAGTCTTCAGCTTCTCTGGATATTGAATCTCGGCGACATCCTCGAGAGCACAATTCCACATGACCGCAGTATTATTAACAATATTCCTATGCTTGCTTTGGAACGCCGAGCATAGTAGTTCTTCGATAGCGTCAAGCTGTAGGTTATCTCGAGAATCTGTATCTAGAAATAGGCCACAGATCTGATCCCAGAGAGCTTCAACCTGTTGGCAGTTTAGTACCGGACACAAAACGATATAAAGGAGTGTGCTACTTACGGCTTGGGACGCTGTCGTGGATTCTGCACTGCTATATTGAGCACTCGCGTCTTGGATCCAAAGGCCGATGCCATGTTGTAGGTTGGATATGGATTTGAACACCAACGAGCGATTGCACCGCATTAAAAAGCTACCAATCTCGCTAAGTAAATGCACAATTATCTCGTCAGTACTATATTGGTCGATGTGTAAATAGGAGGCTTCTAGGAGGTGATTTATGAGGCGGTAAAGGTTGTCGAAGGGGTCGAAAGAAGCAGATCTCGGGCCGGCAATTGAAGTACCCCACAGACGCCGTCGAGCGCCGTCCAGGGCTTGGCGGTCCTTGGGATGTGTCGCGCATGAGATCAGACCGATACTAGCCTCGAAATGAACAGATGATATGACATTGTTGCTAGCCGAAGAGTAGAAGTCCATGAAGTGCTTAGCCAATGGCTCTATCACCACGATAGCTAACCCTGAGCTTCCAGCTTCGGAATTGACTCGAGTCGACAGCATTTCGAAGAGAGGTTCCCACTGTTCCCATGGTAGATTAGGTGTGGACTTGATGCCTCTTTCCAAGTGTTTTACGATCTCGCGATACTCGTGGCCGATAGGGACTGGATCGCTTCCGGAGCTGGTGCTGAAATGGCTAGACTGACTATTGTCCAAAGAGAGGGAGAGGATATCGGATATGAAAACCCACGGTCCATATGGTGAGAGGACGTCCGTAGGTAACATCTGTAAAAACTCGCGAGCTAGTTCGATTTTCCCATGAGAGGAGGATCGAGAGATGATGAATGGATCCAAGACAACCCTGATCAGGTTTAGTAAGCCATCGTCGTCCGGGATCCCGGGAGGTAGCGTGGAAAGGATGGAAAATAGGTGATGAAGGGGAGTTCGTGTTGAGCCCTGGCCCCTTCCCGAACGATGCGAAGGAGTCGCCACTGGAACGAATGAATTTTGCTTATTTAGGGAAAAAAGTTTCTCGGTGAAGGGTAGCAGACCCAAAGACTCTATTATGGTCCAGAGGTATGCTTGCGTCGCGTCTAGGAATCTCTGCTGAGACTCGGGCTCGACGTCCGAATCCGTGAGTCCCCGAGACCATATCCTCGCTAGCATGCTAAAAGCATATGCCATGAAAGTCGCCGTGTCGGTGGATACTTTGACCTCCTTGGACGCGGCAGTCGCCACGGCGCTTATGAGGGTACGCCAGAGTTTATACGAGATGGATTCTGGATTCCCAAGATCTAGAAACATCTTTTGTAAGATAGGCTCCACGGCGTAAAACACCCTCCCCACGTTACGTCTGACCCATTTCGGATCCAGCGCAGGTAGCTCGTCCCATTTCGCCAACGGATTCTCGGCGACGTGATCCTCCTTCCATATTCGAGGCGTCGAGGAGTTGAATAACCCAGTCAATATTAAAATTGCCTGGGTTAAGTTGTCGGAGGGTATAGTCACAAGCTTTTCGCTTTGTTTGACATCCGTCTCGGGGAAGGCCATTTGCTGAATGAGAGGCTTTACGCATGCATCCCAGTAATTGTCGACTTGTGCCGTATTCAAGTTCGGTTTGAAAGCGTAGTAATAAAGGTTGCAGACGCTTCCTGTAACAACTTTCCGTAGTTCATCTGATTGTTTGCTGCTGCCCTTCCTCTTTAGTTGACTGATAAAAGGTTGGCGGATCGTAACGATGGTTTTTGAGAACGAGGCCTCGTTGAGATGTAGGGCGTAGACGAGCCTGTTCCAAGCGTAGTTGGCTTCAAGTCTAGTATGGTAGTCTCCGCTGTTGAAACACCGCTGGATAATCTCTAGCCACGGTCCGAAAAACTCCCACCTATCAACTGGACACCTGAGAAGGAGGATGACAACGCTCCAGACTTGAGGGACGGAGGAGGACTCGGTCTTGTCCTTGGTCATTTTCATCAACCTATCCGTATAGTATTCGATGTATCTGGTTTCGTCGACTTGCAATTGTAGTATCTCCGTGATTTTTCTGTGCAGCTGCTTCTCCTTGCCGACTGTAAAGCTAGCCTCGAGTCCCAGCGCGGCAGCCGCAGCGCGGATCTCCTTCATGCTACTAAGCATATCGGTAAACAGATCCAGAAGCCAGTCTGAGTGGACGATCATGTGAGACCTCGACTGCTTGAGTAGTCTTCGATATATCAGTATACGCGACATGATGATGCTTTTTCCCTTGATGTGGCCTTCCATCTTGTGGAGCGAGGCCACTAGCCGACCAACGCGGTCCGCCGTCATGACCTTCGCCGAGAAGTCCTGAGAGGCCACGACCTGCATCAGATGCCTCACGACGTCCTTGGGAATGGAAGCGTCCTCGAAAGACCTGATACAGTGGTCGATGATGAAGACGCCAAAGTCGTACGACAAGGTAGAGGCGATAGCGGGGAAGTGAAAGAAGGTACAGAGCAGAGTAAGAGCGTGGTTCACCATGGATGAGTCGATATTTTCGTTGGGAACCCTTGCCGTAACGTCTCGCTGTATGAATTGCACGAACAAGCTCATCTTATCTTGGAGGGCGATACGGTCGGGTAGGTTATTGGATGTTTTCAGCGCTCTCGCTAGCATCATGTACGCATCTATCTTGGAGTCCCTGTCTGCTCCGGCGAGTTGTCTGATGGTTGAATCCAACATGGTGACGATGTTAATTTGGTTGCCGTTGATTAATGGGTCTAGGGTGTGGAGGTGGCTCGGACTCGAAGTTTGCTTCAAGATGGATTTGATCGGTTTGATGGAAGCTGCCGACGAAGGGACAGAGGCCGGCGTGGTCTGCTTTCGAACATTTTCCTTGTCAGCGTACGTGGGAGGTTCCCGATACTCGGCTTGCGCCGAGAATCCAACCTTCTTCGAGGATCTCCGAGAGCTGGTGACGGTAGTGTTGGTGGGATCGGGAGAATAGCTGGGAGGAGTATGGATGTTTAATCTGGTATCGACGGGTTGATTAGAGAGGACAAGCTTCGTGGACAGATCCGTGTCTTGCTTCTTATCTCGAGGTGGCGTCGGTGGTCTTGTAGGCAAGGAATCCAAACTTCTTGGGACAGGTGCTACTTGTGGTATCATGGCTACTCCAGCCAATAGCTCCCGCCGGGTGAAAGACCTCGAGATCTCTCAGATTCGGAAAATGAAGATATCATACGCTATTACGACGAACCGAACGACATGAATAAATTCCAATTCGAACGCTATCAAACTCCGATAAACTTTAATGATTGATGGAGGAGGAGAAATTAATGAATGAATGAACGAGATAATCTCTCAAAAGTCAAGAGTTACGTCTTTTGGTCGGATATAGCAAATTGCGATAATGTGTCTGGTATGTTTGAATGGTTAAGGCGGCCCCCCTTGACCATTAAGCGTTGAATATTGGATTGGGGAAAAAAAAGCTAAAAACGCGTCGCGGTTAAGCTTTTTCGCGTAGTTTCTGTCAAGTTGGACGCGAAAAGCTCGGACCTCCACTTTAGCATTGAACTAGGTAGTTCCCTGGTGCGAACTACCTCCTACCTTAAATTATGTATAGGTACCTTAGGTAGGTATCTATGTACCTAAGTATCGACTTGATGTAGGAACCTTGTACTGTACGGTTAGTACCATCCCTGCTGCGTCATACATGACTCTATTAATAATTCATACCTAATTCAAGACTTCTCAAGTTATTTTATCTCTTACAGTTGTGTATCTCGACGTTAACCTTTCGCATAACGAAACAGCCTCGTTCAATAATTTCCTCGAGAGAGTTTCTATTTAGGTATTCTACTATCTATCCAGGCGCACAGGTGAGTAAAAGACAATAACACTTTTAAATATAAAACCTCCTATTCCGTACCTGGAAATCATTTCATACAATTTCACAACATCCTCAACAACTCTTCATTCCTCTCGTCGGTTCCTCTCATTGGTTCCTTTCATCGGTATACTTCAACTACCCCTTTAACCCATTTAGTCAGTTATTTCGCCCAGTTTGCTTTCTTACCCGGCCCTCATTCCGCTCCACTTATGTTCTTGGTATCTTATAAAAGATCCCGAATCTGATTTGCTCCGTACATTACATCACATTACATTACCCTCGCATATCGTACGTCTCTTATCTCGTTGCTTTGCTTTATCACTAAACGTCTTGACTTCTCAAGTCTTGTTTACCATAACTTGGCAGATCTTTCGACCCGAGTTCCAAGTCCTTCGTGAGAGAGTATTTTTCGTTGCGTGGTCGGTTAGCTGAATCAGGGGCTTCGCTAGTCTATCCGCAGATGTCTCAACCAAGCCAGCAGATCGCCGCGGCTGCTACCCTCAGGGGACCTGGTCAGTAGCTAATAACCCTCCAACAACTACACAATATTAATTGAAATATACAGCGAAGCTAGCAGCAGTCACAAGTCTAATAGAAAAACTATCACAAGATCTGGTTTCTGCCAATTTATCTCCTCAACGTAAGCTATCATCGTAGAACTACCTGCTCATTCTATTTTAACTTACGACCTCAAGAACGCGACTCCTCCTTGGAAGAATTGAAGATATACGGTCGGGATCCCCAAAATGCGGATCCCATCTTTACAAAGGAGGTAAGCTAAAGAGCTGTCGGTGTTAGAGGCTATATAAGCTTACAGCTCCTAGGGCATAGAGATGCTCACTCGACATGCGTCTAACAGCTCGTCCGATACTACATCTAGAAATGCTTTGCGGGTCCTCTGCAATGCATTACTCCTGAAGGAAGAAACTCGTCAGTTATTAGTCGATCTAGGCTACGTGGACAAGTTATGTGATAAATTGCAGAATGATAGTTACGATGACGAATTTCTGGTTTCCCGAATACTATTTCTAACAACTTATGGCACGGACTTGAACTTGACTGAGCTCATCGATAAGCATCATCTAGCAGACGCTATCAATAAGCATCTTGAGCGGCACGCAACGCGCCGTGCCAGCGGAAGCCCAGCAACGAATCCCATGGAAGATATGGCACTCACAGAGACGCTCAAGCTTCTCTTCAATATTACCCACCATTGCAAAGATCGAGTTTCTTCATTTACGGCATCGATACCTCATATCGTCACTTTGTTATGCAAGGGCTCGTTCCAAGTCCAGAAACCCCTGGATCCCCCTACCGGTCAGCTTGTCAACGCTCTTCTTAACCTAGATATTGGTGCCGAAGAGGTCCAGAAATCTCTCTTCCCCCAGAACAATCCGAGCGTGCTAGCTGATCGTCTCATCGACTTACTATCCACTTCTACCAAAGCATATGCGAACGAAGACCTAGAGCCGTCGATCACACCTTTAGTTAGCGCGATTCGTGGGATCCACGAGCATGCGCCTGAGGACGTAAAGAAGTCGATACGCACTAGGCTTCTACCAACCGAAGAGGATAGAACTGAGGTACTCGGCCGGACCAGCACCCTACCTTCTTGGCTCTTGAAGAATTCGACGAATCCCTTAACACCTCAGCTACGGGAGATGATATCAAATTTATTCTTTGATATGTCTGACAAGGATGCGTCGAAATTTGTCGAGAATGTAGGGTATGGTTTCGCTTCCGGGTTCCTATTTAATAGGAACTTGCCAGTTCCTGATAACGCCTCGGAGGCATTCGGTACCGCTACAGGTGGTCCTAATAGGCCCGTTAATCCCATCACTGGCCAGTTCCTAGATGCCGAAAGACAGCCCGAGGAACCCAAGATGACCGATGCTGAGAAAGAAAGAGAGGCAGAGCGGTTGTTCGTCTTGTTTGAAAGGTGAGTCTTAGTTGAATACATATATCGAGACATTAGCTGATTGCTAGGCAGATTGAGGGCGAATGGGGTTATTTCTGCTGAGAATCCAGTACGAACGGCTGTGCAGGAGGGACGATTCGAAGAGCTACCTGATGATTATAAGGAAGACTCTGATTGAACCAATGAAGACTATCAAACCCGAGCGTGCGGTCTAGTAATTCGTGCGCGGGGAATCATGGTATGATATATATATACCAAGGCGCGTTTGCTCTCTCGAATTTGATGAAAATGGTTGAAAAGTTGGATATGTCCGTGTATAATACCTACATCTCATTATGTACCTATATAGCCTATGCAGGTCTTGATGACAATTAATACCTAACCACTTCAAGAAAGATACCAGCTAAGTAGACACTTCATTTTATCTAAGCAGCTCACTGATTGCCTTGGTGCTCCACACTCTTTCCTAGCACGCAAAAGGGGTTACTTGGCTAATAGCAACCGTTTGGTACACCGTCTTTTGCGTGCGTTTGGTTTGACCTCTAAGTATAGAACTATGTTCTAGGTAACCAGTTGTCTATAACGTCAATGTTAGGGCAGAATCCAATTTTACGAAGGCTTACTAGGATTTCGAACGAGGTAATCGGAATAAAGGATGCTCTTAATATGTGCATCTCGACAAGGTCTACTACAGAATAATGACATTGTTCTTATCCACATCTACCTTGTGAAAGTTGTATATAATAAGGGGTTTACACATGATTCGTGACTCAAAATCCAACTTATTGAACAAGACAGGCGATGAATATAGCTCTCGAAAAAAAACCATATTTATCGATATTTGAAGAATACATTTTGTTTAGTTAGGTTAGGTAGTGGTAGGTACCTGCGAAATTCTCTAAGAGCCTAGAGTACCTAATCCTTAGCAACGGCTTTGGCAAGTACGAGGCAACCAGCAGCTTCCTTCCTTCTCTGTATGCAACATCTGCTTTTTATTAAAAAATAAAAATAAAAATAAAAATCTCACTCGCCGTCTGTTCCACCTAACATTTACAACATACAACATCTCTTTCGATAGCCTTGTCGCCTCTGCCAACACCAACCGGAGCATCCAAAATAGATATCACAAACACAACTAAGCTACGATACCGGCAATAGCTCCCAAACAACAACAATGCCACCTTCGCACATCTACAACTCTTTCACTCCTGGCGTTCCGGACAACACTCCCCAGCGTTACCTTCGCTCCAGTTCCGTAGACAGGTACATCAACGGCCCCGCTGGCCGACCGCGAAAATCCGCACGAACCAGTACTGTTGTCCACCTGGAACCTGTTGAAGAGGGGGATGACTCCTCCCACGATGTCGACGAATATAAGGACCATCAATATTTGGAATCATCTCCCTGTCGCAATATCCAACGCAGGTCTACGAGAACCCGCAACATGACCAGAGAAGCCGATGCCAGCAAGCACTCTGCTCGTCATATGCCCAAGCACGACCAAGAAACTCCAACCACACCTAAAACCCCGCCTATACTAGCAAGCACCGCTACGCCTGCTCGTAAGGCTACCGGCAAACTGGCGGTTGTTATTGAAACTGCGCCCAAGGCTGAGAAGAAGATAACCGAGAAGAAGCCGTCCCAGGGCAGTCGACGATCTAGCCGTGTTGCGGCTACCGTCGCTGCTTCCCGCATCACGGAGACGAGTGTAAGTACCTAATTACGCATCCTGGTCAATCAGTAATAATGTATTAATACGCATACGTCATAGGCTAAAAGACCCAAGACCCCGTCTGCTAAGCCCGCCGTGCTCAAGCCCAAATCAGGCGGCGTCACCCGCCGTGGCCGAACCCAAACTGCCAAGAAGGAATGGCAGGTGGAAAAGATCATGGGCACCCGAAAGACCAAGTCCCGAGGCGTCGAGTACCTTATCAAATGGACTGGGTTTTCCGAGGATCAAAACACGTGGGAACCCGAGGAGAATCTGGCCCATTGTCGCCGTATGATCTCCCAGTTCAATGCAAGCTCTGCTCGAAAGAAGTAGGCTGGACTTGGGGGATACTGGCGGCCTTGATGGAACGACTAGGTACCTTACCTAATGATCCGAACGGCACGTCTTCCAATGCAATTGTTAGTGGTAGCTGGGTCCAGGCGCTTGGGCATTACCTAGATGGAATTTGCTGACGATTTCGATGGGAGGCTGATTTGGTGAAGCTATGCTTATACCTTAGATACTTCGATCGCTTGTGGTTCGCTTTTGTACAATCTTGTTTCTAGAGACAGTTAATATTGGCGATGATTTCATCGCATTTGCCTTCGACAGTTGCCTTCCACAGTTGATGGGCTGTGTACCTGATATATATCTAGGTAGAAATAATGCCACTCCCTTTCTTTTATATATTCTTTGATGATTCGATGCTGTGAAGACTGTTTATACAACAGGTAGTAGTATCTTCCCGACTTTGTTCCGTAGACTTTGACCGGGTTATTTCTAGGGGCTGCTAAAGATATCGTGAGTGACACAACAGGCACTACCTAGTTCAACCTTATAAGAAAGCTTGTTTCATTGGAGACTTGGAGGTAACATATTCAGGACCAATTTCCACTGTCATCCGACAGGGTACGAAGGTCCGGGCCAAAAGTCTTGCACATGCTAAGCTTTGCCAAGCTTTTAATCACAGGAATTTAACGTGCACGATTATAATAGCACTGTATTGGCTTAGTACTAGGTTTAGGGGCGGATAGTGGCTTGTACGCTAAACTTTAGGGGGCTTACCACTATAGCCACAGGGGAGCTAGCTGCTACTGGTAGATCTGACACCGTATGGCCTTTTTTTATTGACACATACCTAAGTGGGTAGCTTACCTAAGCTACGATGTGCAAGACTTTTGGCCCGGACCTTCGTACTCTCTCCTTGAAAAGTCTATCTGGAGCGAAAGGAGAAAAGCATGGCTGGCGTTCTAGACTTGGCTTTGACAACCAGAGTTAATGATGTACCCAGGTACCCGGGTTTCAATTGAAGCTAAGGCCATCTAGGCCTAGCGTCTCAGCTTAAAACCCAGCGGACAGCGGACAGGATCAGTGCAGCCTGCCGCCAGCTTTTAGCAGCTTGGACACTGCCTGACGTACTATGGTATTGTACTATGTACCGTGGCGTGTTATTTTTATCGCGCCAGAGCATCTGGGGCCGTTGGGGCGCTTCTTAGTTAGGAAGCCCTGTCAGAAATTCTACATCTACCTATAATAATTATTTTATCTCAGCCTCATCAAATTTATCTTTCTTATCCAGTCTATATATCTGGCCTCAATACAGACGGGACATAAACAAATACCTACTAGGTACCTAACCTAATAGATAATTCATCTCTACTTCTCTTGCATCTGGTGGTTAGGCACACGGACAATAATCGCGATGGAGGCTCTAAAAACCGCCTTGCAGCCCTTGCGGCCTATTACGAACGGCTTACCTGCTCCTATCCGCGACCTGGGCCTGTCCATCCTAGGCGAAACCTGCTACAAGACGTTGGTCCTCGAGCTCGACCCGACGGATTTGGAATGCCTCAAGCTCGCCATCTCGAAGGGTCTGGGCATCGGCATCATCGGCGCATCGTCCATCGTCAAGGTGCCGCAGATCGTCAAGCTCGTCAAGTCGCAGTCCGCGTCCGGCGTCAGCTTCCTGTCCTACCTGCTCGAGACCTCGTCCTACCTCATCTCGCTCGCCTACAACTACCGCAACCACTTCCCCTTCAGCACGTACGGCGAGACCGCGCTGATCCTCGGCCAGAACATCATCATCACCGTCCTCGTTCTCAATTATAGCGGGCGGGCTAGCATGGCCGCCCTGTTTGTTGCTACCCTGGCTACCAGCGTCGTTACCCTGTTCGGCGACGGAGTGCTCGATATGAAGACCCTGAGTTATTTGCAAGCTGGCGCGGGGGTGCTTGGCGTGGCTAGCAAAATACCTCAGATTGCTGCTATCTACCAGGCGGGCGGAACGGGTCAGCTCAGCGCATTCACGGTAGGTTTTTTTTTCTTCTTTTCTCAAATGATATACTTGATCAAGTCAAAACTAACATGGCTTGCAGGTCTTCAACTATCTTGCCGGCTCGCTCTCTCGAATCTTCACGACGTTGCAAGAGGTGGACGACAAGCTGATCTTATACGGTTTCGTAGCGGGCTTTGCGCTGAACTTGGTCTTGGCTGCGCAGATGGTGTACTACTGGAATGCGCCGTCGGCCAAGGTCAGAGGAAAGATGAAGGAGGCTGCCCCAGTTTCAGCCGCCGCTCCGAGCTCTGGCGCCTCTACAGCTACGCCTAAAAGCAAGGGGCCCTCGACACGACGCAGGGGTTGAGTGCTTTTTTTTTTCTGTTGCACCCTTGGTAGGATTTGTTGAGTAGATGTGGTTTTTTTAGACATCCACTATTGTAATACACGTAACGTTTATGTTACCTTATATCATAGCTTCTCACTTGTTCTACCGCTCGTGGTAGTAGCAATGTGGCCCCTTGTCAAGACCTTGACATGTCATGTGTGCTACTACTAACCCTGGTAACCAGTACCTACCCGGGCTTGGCCTGCCGTCTACCGTTTTATTTATTAGCTGGACGAAAAGAGAGAGAGGAAGACATCTGCATGGTTAGCCGCCATCAGCAGCGTGACAGCATCTAGGCACATATTATTATATGATGATATGCAAGCGAAGAGAAAAGAAATTTATCTCTCGTCTCCGCTTCCGGATCTATTCGGGAAATGGATCAGTCAGTGATGGGGAAAGAACGGCAAGCTGGGTGATGCGAGAAGGATTCGAGACCGATAGCCGACGCAGATCAGACTCTTGGTTGGTCATGGATTTGTTGATAGGTAGGAAAAAACTGCTCGAGATGTGGTTGAGCTAGTAGCTGCTTGTTGCTTTGCTGCTTTGCTGCATCGCCACGTTTGCCGTTTTGTTCCCGCTGTTTCGAAACATGCGTGAGTCGATCTTCAATAAGTATATACATCCAAATCCATATTATATGGCTTACCTAGTTTGCCAGCTCTGTGAGGGACTTGAATCTGAATATCTGAACAATTGTTTCTTTGTTGAAAGGTAGGAGTTGGCATGAACGATCTCGCGCAACCGACGCGGACTCTGACGTGATCGGGGCGCTGATGTAATTCATTCTTATTAGTGACAATTATTAGTGACTGCATCCTAGAAGCACAGTAGTAGAGGTCTAGGTACCTACAAGACTCTCTTAAGCGGACGTGATGCAGATGTAGTCGGTACTATATAAAATATGAAAAATAGTAAAATGCTGCTTAGACTGAATCAGATACATACCTAACAATTGGATGCTACGATAATATATACAACTACGTGTAGGTAGTACCCCGTCTTGGTGTTACTACTTAGATGGTATTTAATATATGCGGCATCACGATAACGACTACTATGTAGTACCTAATGTACGGTAACTACGTACGGTATTCGAAAATCCCCCAGATTTCCCAAGGCTGCTAAGATCCCATATTTTAGTCTAAATAGCTTTATCCATTATTCAGGCGTCAAGTGCAATAAAAAAAAAGTTGGTGCGACAAGGGTAATCAGATGGGAATGATTCGTATACTCCCCGGGGGTGAAGTTGATAAAACGTCTTCTTCTATGTATGCTTCTTACCTTATGCCCCTTGCATGGCCCAACGAATCATGCACACGACACACACGATAAAGTTCCGAATACGGAAAAGGCGGATGGAATACACCCTCCTGATAGGTTGGTCGGATGCGGAGCCCCCTGAGCCCAGGCCCGTCTAGGTATAGCTATAGCGCTGCTCCACGGGGAAAAAAGAACAGCGGTGTCACTTAGCGCAGTTTTCGCCATCGCTAGCTGTGATCACGCCAGCTATCGATCCCATCTTTCACTGTATCATATATAGTTAGGTAGGACCTAGGACCTAGGTGGTTACCACTTATTAGTTACTTACATAATAGATAGAATAGACTCACTACATAGTATGTAGTTAGCCGGACTGTATGTTCTCCAGTCTTGGCCCTTTCCTGCCTTCTTAAATAGTAGTGCTTCTCATTTAGCCAGCTCCACGATCTTCATCTTCATCTCCGATAAATTCACATATATGCACCTTGACGGTTTGTTGGGCCTCTAGTGACTCTTTCGGACTACCTAAGTACCTAATATTTATAAACAAGGCCTGTCCCTACATATCTTTCATCTTCTCTTATCTTCTCTCTAGTCTTCTCTCTAATTCCTATCCTATCCTATCCTCGGACATATCCATCAAAAAATCGGACATCATACGGGGCCAGCCTCTTTTCAAAGCCAGCTGTTTGCTCAGTCTTGCTTGCCCAGGCACTTTCTTGCCTTAAGCTTTCACGTAGTCAACATTTCAGCCTCGTCATACCGTCATAATGGCTCCTGATCTTAATTCTCTACCGCGGTCATCACTTAGCCCGGATGGTTCTCGTCAAGCGGCTACGCCTGTAGCTAATGGCATCAATGGGACGAACGGCTCTTCGGAGAAACTCCCCAATATCCTCTTCCTCATGGCGGATCAGCTGGCTGCTCCGTTACTTAAGATGTACAACCCGGAATCTCAGATCAAGACCCCCAATCTTGACGCCCTGGCAGCCAAATCTGTCCAGTTCGACTCCGCATACTGCCCTTCTCCCCTCTGTGCTCCCTCTCGTATGAGTCTGATTTCTGGCCAACTGCCTATGAAAATTGGGGCCTACGATAACGCCTCCCAAATCGGAAGCGATGTGCCCACTTATGCTCACTATCTGCGGTTGAAGGGCTATCACACTGCTTTAGCCGGCAAGATGCATTTCGTGGGGGACCAGCTCCACGGGTACGAGACTCGTCTTACCAGTGATATTTACCCTGGCGACTTTGGCTGGGCTGTGAACTGGGATGAGCCCGATAGGCGGCTGGAGTGGTATCACAACGCGAGCTCCATCCTCCAAGCAGGTACTTGTGTGCGAAGCAACCAGTTGGACTACGACGAGGAGGTTATGTACAAGTCGACTCAGTTCCTTTACGATCAGGTTCGCGAAGGGCCGGATTCGAGGCCGTTCTGCTTGACCGTCTCCCTTACCCACCCTCACGACCCGTACACTATCGAAGAAAAGTACTGGGATCTCTACGAAGACGTAGACATTAAGTTACCTAAAGTTAGGATCCCTAAGGAGGAACAGGATGCCCACAGCAAACGGCTGATGAAGGTGTGCGATCTCTGGGATGAGGACTTTACAGATGAGCAAATCAAGCGAGCTCGGAGAGCATACTACGGTGCCGTCAGTTACGTCGATGACTGCATCGGGCGTATTCTTCGCGTTCTTAAGAACTGCCGACTGGACGATAATACTATCGTCGTCTTTAGCGGAGACCACGGTGACATGCTTGGAGAACGTGGGTTATGGTAAGTTCAGATCGTAATATAAGCCCAAGTTGGAGAGTAGGCTGCTAATTGCTAAACTATTATATAGGTATAAGATGAGCTATTTCGAGTCTTCGGTGCGAGTACCGCTCTTGATCTCGGACCCTCGGCGCTTCACCCCTCATCGTGTAAAGCAGAATGTGTCAACTTTAGATATTCTCCCGACGCTGTGCGACCTCGTCGGTACCAAGCCCATTCCCGGATTACCCATGGATGGTCTTTCTCTCCTCCCCCACTTAGAGGGTAGAGAGGGTCACGATACCGTGATCGCCGAATATACGGGTGAAGGAACTATTAGTCCATATATGATGATTCGACGTGGTCCCTGGAAGTATATCACATGCCCGACAGACCCGCCGCAACTATACAACCTTGAGCGTGACCCTCTCGAACTTCTCAACCTGGCACAACTCGTGGATAAGAAGGAGGCGCTTACCCCCGAAGAAGAGGAGGCCAAGGAGAAGTTCGAGAAATTCGAAGCCGAAGCAAAGGCTAGGTGGGACTTCGATGCTATCACACAACAAGTGCTGCTGTCGCAACGGACACGAAGACTTGTATGGGGTGCTTTGAACAAGGGCAAGTTTGAGGCGTGGGATTACAACCCCAATGACAATGGCACCTCAAAGTAAGGATTTCAATATATAACTACCACCTAACCTTATCTTTAGAATTGTTGGGACTAACGATTACCAGATATATCCGATCTTTCCTACCTCTCGACGATTTGGAGCGTCGTGCGAGATTCCCACCTGTTGACAAATATGGCCGAGAGACCGGAAAGGTTCTCGTTGACCAAGCAGGTTCACATGGCGAGTAGCCATACCTATACTTCTACGACTCCACTTGGTTATGATATTTGAAAGCGATGTGGCGTCTTCTTTTTTTCTTTTTCTTTTTTTTTTCTTTAAAGATGGGTATTGATAAGGATCCAGTTAGGTGGCGATGCATCATCCATGGCGCCCAAGCATGCTTAAGGACTTGACTACTTCGGTCTAAGAGGTCACGATTTTTTTTGATAAGGATTTGGCGACGAGTTATGGATGAATGATTTCATGGGGTTAATGAAAAAAAGAAAAAGAGAGCAATGATGCGCTAGATACCTTTTATCTTTGAAATAAATGCTGCATTAAAAAAAAAGTCGATAGGCAACTGAAGACTCAAACCTATCTAACCGTGTTGTCACATGCCGCATCAAAAAATAAAATAATACCTAAATGCGACGTCAGTGGACCCTGAAAATCGTGGATTGATAAGAACGGAATCCCAGTCTAAAAGTGGGTTTTTGTTATGTTGCATTCGGCTATCGGAACTCGGGGGTTTTAATTATCATATTGGTGGGTGTACACGTAATAAATGGCGGGAGAATCCCATCCGTTCTCTGCTTTGTGTACCTAGGTAAAACTTCTAGAACCTGGAAGTGCATTAGAAATACAGTGTATTATACAGTAATATAAAAAACACTGTGCAACCTAATCCGATTATCATTTGTCAATTAAGGAAGCTTTCAGTTAATCGACCTTTCAACATCGCATCGCATTTGGGAGATTCAAGCTTTTTCTTTTTTTATAAAAATAAAAATAAAAAATCATTCAATTCTTTTTAAATTCAAGCTCTTACTTTATATACCATATCCATAAGGTGCATCGAATTACTGCTTATCACATTCTGTCTACGGTTAATCCGCCATGGCGTCGCTTAACCTTACCCAAGATGAGTTCAGAGCTATCGAACAGACCCGGCAACGGCTCTCGCAGATATCTAGTAGCATCGCGAGTCTCAAGTCCGACGTCTTCCTCAGCAACCCGCTGCCCAACTTGTATGTACTTCTGTACTGCTAATCATGCTGGTTACTTTACGTACTTCTGAGATGCTTATCAATTAATTATTACCCTTGTTGTAGAGAGTCTCTTCAAACCCACACAGAAGTCATCCAGAGCATGATACAAAGCTTGATCAGCGTCACATCACCCGCCGCCGAGACCTTCAGCCGCATCGCCGTACATCCCTCGACGAACTTCCCCGGCCGTACCCAGGAGATGGTACTTCAGAGGCTGTTACGCAAAAAGCCGGAGCCGGACATCGCGACGTCTATGGACGAAGGGAGAAATATGGTCGCCGCCCTGACATCCCAGCCGGCTTCTCAAGATATTACCACAGGAGCTAGTAGTCCCGGCGCTGCAAAGGGTCCGGAAGAAGAGTTGGAGAAGATATGGAACGCCGTGCGCGACTTCTGCGAGGAGCGGATGCGAGACTACGTGTTAAACGAAGGCGACGACATGTTTACGGAAGAGGAACGGGAGCGGGGTATCGAGAACGTGCGAACGGGGCTCAGAAGGTCGCTCGATGACGAAGAGGAGGAGGAAGACGAGGATGAAGAAGGAGGAGGAGGGGCAAATGAAGACCAGGATGATGATGTTATGATCATCGATCGTCCACCTCCGCCTCCCGCACCTTCGGTTTCCACTCAAGAAGTCGAGGGTGCGGCGCTGGAAAACATTATGCGTTTCGCGGCAAGAGGAGAAATTGTTACGCGGTAAAGGCTATATGAACCTTGGAAGTTATGGTGAAAGTTAGAGTATTACCTAGAGCCTTGCTCTGTTTTGCGGCATGACATCGCACCAAGTCGGGAACAATGATATCGTGAAGGATTTTGTGGCTTTGAGAGGCGGCTTACTTTGCGCTAGACCTCAAATACGCTTCCGATGACAGGTCCGATGGCGTCGATCGGATAGCAAGCGGATGTAGGTGTTACCAAGACCCAAGGGCTTTCAAAGGGGGGCAGCAAACTCCGAAAGCTCCTATCTGCTCACGCCCAGCAGGTACCTATCGTGGGTATCTACTAGCGAGGCAGCGAGGCATTTGTTGGTGGAACTAATATCCCGACGCTGGCCGGCGCCAAGGTTCGAACCCCGATTACGATACGAACCAAGTTTTCAGGTATTAAGCTAACTGATTTCATTACCGACTTTCAAATATTTATTGCGTTTTAAACTAATTGCAATGAATAAGCGACGAAATCTGCTCGGATCCCCGTCGTTTGAGCCTCATTTCACTATGCACATAAGCCCGCGATATATAGTCGAGACTCATTTTCTAGTAAGATCGTCGCACGCATGATTATCACTGAGCCTCGTTGACCGGTCACGGATGCATCTGCGTGACCTGTTCAGCCTTGTGAGAGGTCAGCGAAGAGTCTAATCCCGGTATATACGTAAGCGCAACGAGGTCTGACTGCCTACGCACACGTTCGTTGAGATGCAGTATCTTGGTTTTGGAAAGACCGAAGCGGTCCGATGGATAAGACGGAATTGGAGTTGGAAAAGACAGAGGAATGACAGAGGAATAGCAGCGAATACGGCACGAAGTTCGGATAGAGTGAATGAAACTAGGGAGTTCGCCCTCTTTTTTTTTTTTTTTTTTTTTTTTTTTTCTCTTCTTTAATCAAACCTGCGACCCCGAATCCTATATATATGCAGTAATACCCAAACGACGCAAGTTGAGACGTATTGAATATCTAGAAGGGAGATCGAGAGTAAGGGAGTCCAATCAGGATAAATTTGCAAGGATGCTCACGGGCCGTGTTATTCGTATTATTCATGTTATTCGCTGCACCACTCATTTCGGTGCTGACTCGCAGATTCAGACCCTTTCCAAAACGGCCCGCTGTTGTATTGCCGCGACCTGGATGATGACGGGAAGCTGACGCCTAGAGCGGCTCTCCGAAAGCGTGACTAGACCCCCCTAGGGAGTAAGCTGATGTTATATTCCAGTGGGTTTCCCACCTGGCCAGCGTTTTTCTTGTCTTTATAACCGGTCCAATGTCGCTGCTGACTGGGCGGTCAGTGGCTGGCTTGTTGATAATACAACAACTAGATTGGGTACAACTCAGGGCGAAGGACACGACTGCCCTGTCGATATCAAATCGCTCAGTATATATCCACCACCGTATAAATTATCGTCTCATAAATAGCCAGGTGGCGTAGCTGCTTCAGCTTGTTATTTTATAAATATCTCGTCGTCCTACCTCCCGCCACGTCTCGGAGACACCTGGTCGGGATCCTTCTGCTCTTTTCGCCCTTTCAGTTATACGTCATCTCAACTGCTATTATACTCTTCGCTCGTTCCATAACAAATATAATATAGCTCGAACCGTCGTGTCGGCATCTATTTCAGACATGCTTCTGGACCAATTTGACGATTGTGATTGGGTCGGTAGAAAAATTGCTGCGTGGGGACGCGCGGGCGACTCTTTCGAACAAAGAGAAAATATGACTACGCCCCCCAATAATCCCGATGACGGGTCCCTCGAGACGACGGCGACCCTTAACAAAGAGACCCTTTCGGACTTCGAATCCCTCATGCTAGGAGAAATGTCTAACGACGGGTGTTCGGAAGACGAGATGGATTCGGCCTCGAGCTCCGAAGACGGCGGCTTCTTCCCGTTTATGGAACTGCCCCTGGAAATCAGGCTGCAGATTTACCGCTGGGTGCATCTTATGACGCCCGTCCAGCTGACCCAGTTCGCGCCGTGGTACCCCAACCCGGTGTACCGCGCGTACCACGTCAGAGCGGTGACGACGGAAAACGATGCAACGACAGATCCGTCGCTGTGCAGCTTCGGCGGGAGCGAAGATATCGCCGGAAGGCAAAAGCCGGCAGCAGCAGAGCGGTCCGAGCTGCTCTCGCCGTACCGACCAAATTGCTGCATGCCCACCTCGATGCTGACGGCGAATCGGCAAATCTACTACGAAAGCAGGGATCTGCCGTTCCTCGAAAACGAATTCGTATTCGTCAACTGGTTCACGTCGGGGCTGTGGGCCGCGCGGTCGTTCGTCAAGGGGATGCAGCCGTGGCAGCTGACGATGCGGTACGCGCGTCTGGAACTCCTGTCGCGGGACCTCATCGGGCGGCCGCTGGGAGACTGGCGGGAGCTGTGCGAAGCGTGGGCGCCCGGATTAAAGGGGTTGCGACTGAAAATCCTCAGCGGGGGAGGCGGGGCGACGTCGTCTACGGGAGGCATGTCGTGGGTGGTAGCGGGCCCGCCGCAGAAGGGGGCTCCGACCGTGAGGGTGCGGGATCCGGACGGGAGTGTGGCGGAGTGGATAGGGAACGGCCTGAGGCTTTTGAAGAGGCTTCGGTTTCTGGAGGTCGAGCTGTCCGTTGCCGATTGGGATGCTGGGACAAAATTGGAGTGGTGTAGGAGCTTGGAGGAAGCTATGAACGAGTCGAAGCCGGATGCGGAACGTCACGTCCGGGTTTGTTGCGTGGAGAGGATAGCGCAGGAGGGGAGGAGGTTTGTATGTCTGTGAAGCTGGTCATTGTCTTTAAGGGGGTTGGTTATCACAGCGTTATCACAGCGTTATCACAGCGTCGTCTGAGCACAATAACCTCTGAATGCAATCATCTCTGAACGAAAAGGGTCGGATAAACAGACGGAAATGTATATAAGATAAGTACTGAGGTCCCGACTCATAAAGCTGGATATAATTGGCCTGGGAGTGAATTTCATTATCATTCATTTACGAGACTTGAAAAAAGGGGGGGAGTTGATGTCATACAAGGTACGAACGAAACTTATCACAAGACAATTTATTTTCAGTCAATGGAACCTTAGAACCAAGGGGGTCGCTCAGCATTGGATATTCTCTACTTAGGGGTTGTTTGCCATGGTCATAAGAGGTACCTAGGGTCTAAGTCAGAGGAGGAAGTCTCGATTAGAACGGATAAGGGGGGTCGTTGCCTTGGACATACCTTGATACGACCTCCTGCCCCGGCCACAGTTGGCAGGCACACAAGAAAATTCAATAATTCACGTCGTTGCCTTGGGAGAAAAGCTACAAAGGTACGTATATACGTACAAGACACCATTAAGGTAAGGTTAAATCATTCCGTTCAATCACTGGCTTTGGTTGCCTTAGAGGTCCTTTTTCCAACTCCATTCCCCAAATTCAACTGTCATCCGACAACAACAACAGCAAGGACGACAAAGTCGTAAGTTGATAAATTTCCATTACGGTTTCGATTTTTATCGTACGGCCGACAAGAATTACAATACCTTAGGTACCTAACCTAACCTTCTTACCTCTTACCTCCTACCTTTTTTTCGAGGTGATAATCTTCACGCCTTCTTGCGTTCAACGCGACAACTCTCCAAGCACTTTACGTACAAATCCTCATATACCCATCAGGTACGTTTCAAACGCCAATAACAAATGAAAGGCGCGATAACTGATAATAATTTTATTGCAGTCAATCTGATCTTGTGCAAAGACAATGGAATCCTCTTCTGCTGATTCCGCCGATTTGGCAACCGCTTTGGCAACCGCCACTCAGACTCAGACTCCGGCTCAGGCCGCTGGCAACGTCGAGGGCCATCACGACGCAGATGGCTTCTCAACCTCTACCATGGTACTTACGGCTCTTTGTGTAATTCCCGTCGTCGCCATTGCAGCTGCAACGCACCATGCTCGCAGCAGGAACGCCACCGACCACGGCCGCTTTATGACGGGCCTTCGCATTTTTGCCTTTACCTTTGGCTTCATTGTCATCGCCATCTTTGCTCTCCCCATCTTCTTCTTACATTACGTCGACAAGTACTAGGGTTCCTGGTTGACTATTCTCTGCCCCTGTTGCCGTCGCAGGCCCGCTGGAGATGTGGAAGGTGCCACCGACACCTTCTGCGACGTCTCTGATCTCGATATTGATGCCGGTTCCGATAATGACGATGATGACGAACTTGCATTGCGTCCTGGCGAGGTTGGCGCTCCGACAGACGACTTTGTCGCCGGTCAGTGCACCCCTGAGGAGGGATATACGCCGGATAGAAGCGCGATGAACCAGTTGGTGAAGGAGAAGCTGGCAGAGATGAAGAGAAGCCAAGAAAAGTGAAGGGAGAATAAGGGAAGAATAGGAGGAAGAGTATGCGATGCTATTACCGAATCTAGAAGGAAAGGTAGCAAGCAGGCACTCAAGTCTCAGACGAGGTTGGACTCTCCTATTGGAAAGGCAAATGCTTTTCTAGGCACGAACATTGCGTTGATCTTTTTTTCTTATGTAGCTTTTTCACAAGGCTAATATGCCTGTCTACCTGAGTTAATGGTTCTTTGATTTCATGAATAAAACCGACTGGTTAAGGGGTTCGCAAGGGGAACGCGCGTTGTATTTACAATCGGCACGCCATGATAATATGGACGTGGAGGACGTGGACATGGACATGGACATGGACATAGCTCCTTTCTTTAATAATGATTTCTGCGTAATGAATTGATTCTCACTCTTTTACTTTCACGGTGCCGTTTGGGCCCCTTATCTTAAAAAGGATATGGGAAGTTAAATTTGCCGTTTTGTTAAACTGGTAAACAGCTCCCCTCCCTAATAATTGCGTTTCTGAGGTGCGGTAATTCATGAACGGAGCTAAAGACGGTATTGCATAGGAGTGAGGAGTGACTGGCAATTGGCTAGCCTCTTTAACTCCTTTCTAACTTGTAAACAATCGCAATATGGATTCCAAACGCAGCTTCAGATGCAGTTGTCTGCCAGCCAGATAATTCCCTGAGATACAGGAATTTACGTATCAAAGAATAATTGCTACAAGAAAGGTTACGCCGATATCCAACCCATTTTCCAAGCATCATGTCCATGTGTCCATATGTCCTGCCCATTCATATCCTCATTACCATTGCCATTCCGCATTATGTAGGTAGGTACCAAATAAATCATACAGCCCAGCACATACGTACATATCTACCTCAGACATGACATGACATGCATTACCTTACTTAAGGTACCTAACCTGATAATAAATATTTCGCCACGACTCCCCTTCTCCAAACGCCCAGATAGATAGACAGATAGACAGATCATCACACCTTCCCAGCTAAATACAATATATTTTCCCGCACGGCTTCCGTCAGCTCGCCCTGCCCCGTGTACACGTACCGCACCGTCGCCGGCCACGCCTCCGCGTGCGGCATGGGCAGGTACACGACGTCCCCCTCGCAGATGTGCCCGGAGACGAGCAGCGCCGCTACCACGGGCAGGTAAGCTCGCGCGTACGGGAGATCTGAACTGTTTGTTAACATCGGTCTATCCTTATATGTATAAAAAAGAAAAAAAAAAGGGGGGGGGGGGGGGGGGGGGGCACAAGATTCAAGGTGGGTAAGGCCAGCCCCAGCCCGATAACTACCACGGGGGGCCCGCCGGCGCCCGCCAGAGAGCAGAGGCGCGCCAGA